CCGTACAGCGGCACCAGCACTGGTGTCAGCAACCCTGAAGGCGGGCCTGCAGAGCGCACAGCCTGCACAACCATGGAGCGCCTGCGAAGCGGCACAGCCTCGCACAACCGTGAGCGCCTTGCCGAGCTGCACCGCCTGCACAAACCGTTTGAGCCGCGCTGCAGAGCGGCACCGCCGGCACAAGCCCGTGAGGCGCGGTGGCAGAGCGGCACAGGCCTGCACAAACCAGAGTGAGCGCCTGCAGAGCGCCACAGCCGACCACATGCTGAGTTCCCACCATACCCACAGATCCTGCCTCAGCTCCCAAGAGCTGGGGCTACAGGCAATGCGCTACCACGGCCTGGGCGTAATTTTTTTCGTCAATATATTTTTCACTGGGTCCAAATTAACTTCTATTTTTGGTAGAGAACAGGGTCTCCCGCTTCTTAGCGCGGTGGTCTCGAACTCCCTGAGCTAATGGACGCGCCGCCTCGACCTCTCAGAGTGCTGGGATTACAGGGCCTGCAGCCACCGCGCTGGGCGCCATTTTAACCCCTTCTTAAATGCACATAGTACCAGGGAGCCGCAGTCGTGCTGTGGCCCACCCCCCACCGTCCCTGGCGGGCGGGTCTTCCCCCCCCCCAAATTGCCAGCTCTGGCCTGGTCAGACGCTCCACCCCCCACCCAAGCGCCCCCCCCACTCTGTTCCTTTCTGTCTCCTGTGACCTGACTACTCTGGACTCCAGATCCCAGTAAGGGGATCACCACGAATGTTTACTATTTTGTCTTCTGGCCTTTTTCACAAGCTTTATTTTTATGAAGTCAATATCGATCCAATTGTTCTGGTATAATCATACTTTTAGGATCCTAGCAAATCTTTCCTTATACCCCAAGTTTCGACAACACATTTTTTCCTATCTGTCTCTAGAATTTTTATAGGGTTTTCAAATTTTACTGGGGTTTTTTTTTTGGAAAAACAGACTCTCACTCGTTGTGCCCTGGCTAGAGTGCAGTGACTCTTAATCACAGAACCCTCAAACTCCTGAGCTAAGCGACCTCTGCCTCAGCCTCCATAATACTGGGACTACAGGCTATTTTAGTAGAGACGAGGTCTCGCTCATTGCTCAGGCGGTCTCGAACTCCCTAACCTCAGCAATCCACCCCTGCCTCGGCCTCCAGAGGCTAGGATTACAAGCACAAGCCACCGCGCCCAGCCAAATTTTGTTTGTTAAAGTTTAAAATTTAAGTATTGCCTGAAGTCCAGGAGTTGAGACCAGAGGCTGAGCAACAAAGGCAAACCCTGTCTCAAAAAAAAAAAAATAAAAAATAGTATATTATATATATATATATACACACACACACACATATATAATGGCAACTATTTTTCCTGGTATACCAGTACTTGTTAAAAATTTTTTTTGATTTTTTTTATAAGCTTTAGGTTTTAAATTTAGAAATATAATCCAATATTATATAAACTTAATATAAATTAAGTTTATTTTTGCATGTGGTGTGTGCTATGCGTCAAGGCGACTTTGTTCAAAATCGACTGACCACACAGGCACGACACCTATGCTAAAGATATTAAACTGAAGCTGAGGGCTCCAAGAAACACACTGTACCCCAAATTCACTCTTGCAGCGGGGAGCCCTGTCAGTCCTCACTGGACAGATGCCCGCTCGGGACGCAGGCCTGGGCAGGAGGCGGCCAGGAGCTCCCCGAGTCAGAGCACCCACGTCCCCCCAAACTCCTAGGTGGGAACCTACGCTCCAGGCGTGAGGAACGGGCCCTCACCTGACCCCGAACCTGTCAGCACCTTGACCTCGGCCCCCCGGCCCCCAGGCCTGCGAGCAACGAATTCTGGTTGCTCCTAAACTTCCCAGTCTGGGGTGTTTTGCTACAGAACAAATGGCCTGAGACAGGCTGTGGCCCAGGCCGGTGTCGTCGCCTTGCTGTGCCTCCCCCGCCCGCAGCAGGCTGCAGCAAGGGTCCCCGGCTGCGGGCCACGCCCGGCACAGAGCTCCCGGGAGAACACGCTGCCTCCCGGACCGGGCGCCGCTGCAGGCTGCGGAGGAGACGGCGGCGCAGTGCTCGTGGCAAAGGGTGTGGGTGACATGTGGTAAAACCAGGAAAGAGATCGTGTCGCCCAACGGCAGGCTCCTACCCTGTGTGGGTCTCACACGGAGCTGGGAGAGCACGCTCTAGAAACGGCAAAGTCCTCTCCCTGAACAGCGTCCGCAACATTGCCGAGCCTCCCGCAACCTGGGCTCTGAGTCCCAGAACCAAATCTGGGCCGGCAAGGTCACTCCTGGACTCAGCCCGACGGCCTGGGCAGGCGTGGGTCCCCACGGGCAAGGCGCCACCGCACACACCCACACTGACCCACAGGCGCTCAGAGGGGTCAGCGAGGCCCCCGCCAGGGAGCCGCCTGGGCCGCATGTCCATCTTCAGGGGGACTTGGGGATGTTCCCCTCCGGGATGCGAGGACGCAGGGCCCAGCTGGCCACCCAGCGGCCCTGGCTGTCCTTCCTCCAGAGCCGAGAGTGACACGCCACCCCAGTGGCTGAGGAGCACCTGTTTGGGTGTTTGTGCTCTCACGAGAAGTGTGGGGCCAGGTGCGGGCGCCAGAGGCTGGCCTCAGCCCCTGCTGCTTCAGGGGCCACCGTGACCCTGCGTGTGGGCGGCACGGCGCTCTGGCCATGCTGCCTCGAGGCCTGGCCACACACGCTGCCCCTCCACTGTGTGTCCAGAGCGCGAGCACCGATTTTCTTCTGATCATGTCAACAAAACCCCAAGAAATCAAGACATTTTTCTTCTGATGATGAAAGTTATGCAAGCTCATTGCAGAAAATTTTCAAAGTACAGAAATGCTAAAAGAAGAACATTTTAAGACCCAAGGAATGCCAGCAGTGGGGCCTGTGTGGGCAGGGGTCTCCACACTACCTGCACAATCCCATCTGCGCCACCTGCGTGATCCCACCTGCACCACCTGTGCGATCCCACCTGCGTGATCCCACCTGAGCCACCTGCGTGATCCCACCTGCACTACCTGTGCGATCCCACCTGTGCCACCTGTGCGATCCCTGAAACATCACACCTGTTCACACACACACACACACACACACACACACACACACGACCCATGGCTACACCCCAAGGTGACGTCCCGTCCTCCTCCCTGGGCGTTCGCCACTTGGAGCCCAACAGAGACCCGAGGGTGATCCCAGGACGTCTGCGGGACCTTCCAGGTGGAAGGTGGCATGGCATTTCCGCGTCCCCGGGACGGGCGCCGGGCGGGGCTGCACGGGAGCAAGCGGCAGAGGCCAGACCTCGCGGGGGCTCAGCTCGCTCACCTCATCGGACACCTTGAACCTCCGCAGCAGCGCCACGACTTTCTGCTTGAAGTTTTGTTGCTGCAAGATAAGCGACAGAGTCAGGAGCCGCTGCGCCGAGAGGCCACCTCGAGGCAGCGCACACGCCGCGGCACTGACCAGCTCAAAAGCGCTCCCAGCGCTCCTGCCACAAGCAAGTTCACGGGCATCTAGAACCACAGCCAAGGGCTGACGGTGCCAGGCCCAGCGAAGGGGAACCTAGGGAGGGCCTGTGCCAACACTACAGTTCTTCTAGAAGCCTCCACAGCCCTTCCCGGGCTCACTACCTTGGCCAGTCCAGAAGGAGGGTGCTGCGTGCCCCACATGGGGGTGGCCACTAGGGCTGGCTGCCGGGAGGCACTCGGATGGGCGTGCTTGGCAGTCAGCCCTGCCCTATCCCCCCCTCGCCGCCACCCTCAGGGCGCAACCCTGCAAGGCAGACCACACCGCTCCCTTCCCAGCAGCGGGGCTCTCGGGCCCTGGGACTGAGGCCCAAGCTTCCCTCCAGGAGGAAAAACCCGGCAGCTCTTCCCCAAGCTCCTGGGGCCACAGTGCAGGGCAGGCCAGACGCAAAACAAAACCAAGAGAACTGGCCGCACGCAGGTGCGTCTGGTGCCGGACCAAAGAGAGAGCAGCCTCCCCCTGGCTCTGCTCCTGGAGTGGCCTGGGTGGTGGTGGCTGCCCCAGCCTGGGTCACGCCCTCTGCACCTTGCAGACGGCAGCGCCTGGCAGGGCAGCAGCCGGGCTTGGCCGGGAGGCCTCACCTGGCTGGCGCCCACCTGGACTGACAAGAACCAGGCGCCCCGCGCCCGCTGCTGAGGCTAAGGCTGCAGCGCGGGGTCTCCACGCCTTCACCAAGGTGGCTGGGGCGGAGGGTGGCCACCGAGCCCAGGAAACGCCTGAGCAGGCCGCGGGGCCCGTGTGCGCTGCGCCTCCTCCAGCCCCTCGCCCTCCCCAGGACTCCACCGTGGCGACCGGCCACCGCCCCCGGGTGGGGAATCCAGTCCCCACCCACCCTGGTCATGGACGTCGTCCGCACTATCGGCCGCCGCTGCTTCTTCGGCTTGCCCACGTCGAAGTCGTCCTCGTCCAGGTCCTGCGGGGAAAAGCACGGTGCCTGGACCCCGGCCCCCGGGACCCTCCCCCGTGAGTGCTGCCCGCACACCAGCTCCGGGATGGTCAAGGCCCCCCCCCCCGTGAGTGCTGCCCGCACACCAGCTCCAGGATGGTGCTGCCCCCACACCAGCTCCAGGATGGTCAAGGCCCCAGCTCCGGGATGGTCAAGGCCCCCCCCCACCCCGTGAGTGCTGCCCTCACACCAGCTCCGGGATGGTCAAGCCCCCCCCCAGAGTGCTGCCCGCACACCAGCTCCGGGATGGTCAAGGCCCCCCCCAGAGTGCTGCCCACACACCAGCTCCGGGATGGCCAAGGCCCCCCCTCCCCAAGGTCGGCGCCCCTGCGTGGCCCGCCGCTCACCTGCCCCTGCACGGCGTCGTCGCTGGCCTCCTGCTCGGAGGAGAAGCTCTCGTATTCCTCCTCGGAGTAGTTGTCTGTGGGGGAGCACACAGGCACCTTGAGATTCCGCCACCGGGCCACAGACCCCGATGCGAGGGGCTGCGGGGACTTGGTCCTGCAGAGCCCCGGCCGGATGCACGGGTGCAGGCGCCGTGGCCCCGCGGCCCGAGAGCCCGATGGCAGCAGCCCTCGTGGCGTGGGGCTCGTGGGGGGCGCTGTGAGGACCCCCACACCCCCCTGCCGTGTTTCAGCTGGACTTGCGCTAGCTGGGTCCCCCACCTACCCTGGGGCGGGGGTGGGGACACGGGCCCCAACTGTGACGGTGGCAACAGCTGGTGGCCGGAGCACCGCCCCCTGCCGGGACTCACCGGCGGACTTGGCCTTGGGGCCGGCCTGCATGGCGCTGTCCTCGTGGTCGATGGGCTGGCTGGACAGGGACACGATCCAGATCTCCGCCACCTTGACGGGGGCCTCCTTGATGCTGCTGCAGAGGCTGAGCACCTGGCCGCCCTCCGCCGGGTGCTGCATCACCTGTGGGCAGGGCAGCGTCCAGCGGGGCCACGGGAGGGGCGGCGCCCACCACCCGCAGCCCCACGCCTGGCTGGGGGCTGGGCCTGCTGGGGGTGGGTAAGAGGGCTGGGCCCCTCAGGACCCCACGAGAAGGGGCCGGGGCTGTGCTGGGGAGGTCAGGGCCAGGCGGGGCCACGGCAGACTAACGTGGGCACGGAGGTGTGTCCCCCCAGACGGCTCCTGGCCTCGGGCACTCCCGCTGTCCCTGCAGAGCCGCCCAGGCAGGTCCCGGCCTGCTCAGGCTGCGCCTCTGCCAGCCGCAGTATGTGAAGTGGCCCTGACCCGCAGGCCCGGTGTCCGGGACCTGGGTCTGTGCGGCCACGCGGCAGGGGACACCGCCAGGCCCGGTGTCCGGGACCTGGGGTTGTGCTGCACGCGGCCCGGACCCCTCAGGCCGGTGTCCCGGGACCTGGTCTGTGCGTGCCACGCCGGCAGGGACACGCAGGCGGTAGTCCGGGACCTGGGTCCGTGCGGCCACGGGCGCAGGGACACCCAGGCCCGTGTCCGGGGACCTGGGGTCGTGGGCCAGCGGCAGGGTACACCGCCCAGCCCGGTGGTGCCGGGACCTTGGGGTCCTGGTGGGATCACGGCAGCAGGGGACACCGCCAGGCCCGGTGTCCGGGACCTGGGTCTGTGCGGCCACGCGGCAGGGGACACCTCCAGGCCTGGCTCACAGGACCGGCCCAGCCCTCTCTCGTGAGAGGTTCTGGCAGGGAGCAACGCCGGGACCTGGCGCCCACCCGCCACCACTGGGCGATGCTTCCTGCGCCCCACGCAGCCGCACAGATGCACAGGTGCGCAGCACGGCAGCATCCAAACGTGCCCGCAGATCTGGGGCCTCCGCGCCCCACAGCTGCCCCTGGGGGTCACGCGCTCAGACCCAGATACTGGGGTCTATGGACCAGACTTTTTTAAACATTTGGGGGCCAATTTTTTAGCCAGTCAGTCGAATAAGAAGATAAAACGTTTAAGCAAAAGTATGTCCACTCGCACCTTCACTTCGGAAACCACACCGGGAAGGTCGGCGGGCAGCTGCATGCCAGCACGCAACCTTCCGACGCCTGGGTGTGCGTGTGCGTGTGGGTGCGGGGACGCACCTGCACCCCCGCGAGCACAGCTCAGCGGTGTGGCCACCTGGCACGAGCAGGAGGGGCCTGGCAGGGGCCGCATGGGGGCCGGTGGCCGAGCTCTGAAAGCCCAGGCGGGAGCCCGTGCCCGGCTCCAGAGGACCCGCATGGGGCTGGGGCCTTCTCCCCGGGAGAAACCTGCTCTTCCTGTCCCTCGGGTGGGAGCGGGAGAGAAGCTGGGCCCCTCATCAAGGTTTTCTGCTCTGACCGCCGTGGCGGCTGGGCTGTGCCTGTTCTGCTGGGCGCCGCGGGCGGGCCCGGGGTCACGAGGTGGGGCAGTCTGGAGCTCACTCGAAACCAGGGGTCACCGCTGAGGCGGAGCCCCCCACGGCCCAGGTGGGGCTCGGAGGAAGCCTGGGTGGCGCAGGCCCCACTCGGGTGGGGTACGTGGCCTGTGCTCGACTCTGATGTGGCCTCGGCTCACCGTGGCCACTAGACAGCTGCTCATCCGACCCCCGTCTGCACGTTATCCGTGCCCCCCCAGGGCCTGTGGCCTGCTCCCCCATGCTGCCACGTCCCTCCCTCCTGCCCTGTGCTGCGGCTTCCCAGGGGGGTCCGGCTGCCGCGGAGGCTGTTTTCCTGGGTGACACTGGCCAGCTGGTTCCTGTCCTGGACAGCGGCCATCCCCACTCCTGCCCGCTGACCCCAGAACGGCCCTCCCAGGCCGGCCTCCCGGCACTCCCAGGACGCTGCAGGACCCACAGCAAAGGGCTGGACCCGACCGACCTCGAAGGCCCCGCTCCCACCAGGCCTGACTCCCGACGGCCTCCTCCTTTCACATTGAAATGACCTTTAGTGCCAGAATGACAAACTTAATTAGAATAAATAGAGTGACCAGTAAATACATAGAATAATTTAAATAGAATAGAATAATCAAATAAATAGAACAATCAAAATTTGGCAAAAACAGGCCAGGCACAGTGGCACACGCCTATGACTGAGGATGCTCTGCTGTGGGTAAAATGCCTCCAAACAGCACCGCCCGCCACAGAGAAGCCCTTCACAAGGGAAGAGGCAATCACCGCGCAAACTTCCTTGCTGTCTCGTCTAAGAAACTGCAGGGCCACCCGAGCAGCCGGCAGCGCCAGCACCGAGATGGCACCTTCCCCAGCAACAGGATCGTGGCTCGTGGACGGCCCAGGTGATCTCAGCATTTTTAGCAATAGTGTCTAGTTAAGGCACACTGGCATTGCACACTGAGCGGATGACAGCGCAGTGCAAGCGCAATCTCACGTGCACTGGAAACGAAAAGCTCGTGCGACTCGCTTGACTGCGACATTCGTCTTGCTGGGTGCGGCGGAACGGAGCCCGCGTGTCTCCCGGGCTGCCCGCGTGTGCCGCGCCCGCTGCGCTCAGCGCAGTGCAGTACGCTACGTGCCGAGTGCCACAGGCGACCCCAGCACTACGGCAAGCGTCTGTGCATCCAAACGCTCCACGCGGTAAAAAGATCGCGTAAAAGACGAAGCCGCACTGAGCACGGACGGAGCCTGCGGGACGGGGGCCGCGCCAGGGTGGGCTGTGCCGGGGGGCGAGTGGCGAGGACTCCGGCAAGGTGACGGGCACCGCCTCCACTGCTGTGGACTTACGAGCCAGCGTGGCACACTCGGGGACACCGTGCTGACAGAGAAGTGAAGCGGTCAGGGCGCGTGGTCAGCACAGCTACGGCGTCACTTAGCGCCACGGATTTCCACGGCTCGCCTATGATCTCGCGGGACTACTGTCGTGCACCGTCTGTCCTCCGCTGAAATCCCTCTAGAGCGGCGCGGCCGCACGGGCCCTCACGGGAACAGCAGTGCGCAGACAGGCTCGGGCGACGGCTCTCGGGCTGGCCTCGCCCCGCCGTCTTCCCAGCCCCACCAGAGCTGCCCGTCCCTCGACACCTGGGCCTCCAGGTCTGGACCTGGCCCGAGTGGTGTGTGCGGCTCGGGGGGAGGACAAGAGGGGCAGTGCGGCGCCACGAAGACACTTCCCCAGCCGCCGCCACGCTTCCAGGTCACCCAGAGGTGCCCGCCGCGCCCCTGCAGCCTGGTCCACCCACACCCACCCCACGCGCTCCCCTCCCTAGACGCAGGGTGGGTCCCGTCGCTGAGGGCCCTCCGGGGAGGTGTGAGACAGAGGCTGCGAGTGGTGGGGTAGCCCGGCGTCCAGGATGGTGGGTGCTGGTCCTTCCCAGAGGGCTCAGCCGGGGTCCGCACCAGAGAAGAGCGAAGCCCCCCACACCCACATCCAGCCGGGCACCCACTCAGCTCCAGGCCTTGGCGCCCGGAGTGCGGGCGCGTGGGCGGGGTCGGCGAGCCCTGCAGGCAGAGCTGGGTGGTGGGGCCCAGGCTGCTCAAGAGGAGGTGACACGGAGTGTCCTTGTGGGGCCTGCACGACTCTTCTCCCCACACGCCAGGCCCTGCCTGCCTGTGTCTGGAGGGCTGGCAGGGAGGACATGGCTACGGGGTAGGGGAGGTTGTGCCACGCCCACTGGCCCGCCACGCCCACTGGCCCACGCAAGCTGAGCCCTCAAGACCCTTCCCTCCCGCTGAGCACCACTGCCCACTAACCACACCACGGCCCCAGCCCCTGTGCCAGCGGGTGCCCTGAACCCCACCGGCACCACGCAAGACGGCTGAGAAGGGGCTGAAACAGCAGGAGCCCCGCTGCGGAGACCAGGCGCAGGGTGGGCACGGCCCGTGTTGCCGGGAGACAGCAAGCAGCGCAGGCTTCTGCGCAACCAGACAAGCGGCGGCTCCCGGGCGGCCCCTGGCCCCGAGACCACCTCCGGGCCTCCCGCTCACCCTAGACCCAGCCTGGAGGCGGAGGCTGGGTGGGTGGCGGCCTCGGGCCTTTGGGAGGCAGAGTCCGGGCCCACAGGCTTGTCCGCCAGAGGCCGGCTCCGCCCTGTGCTCTGCGGCAGGGGCCCACGGGGGACTGGGGCTGGCCGGAGGCCCAGTCCCACAGGGACAGAAGCCTCAGGAGGCGGCCTGCACTATCCACACCCCTCTCGCGCCGCCTGGGCAGTGGGAGGGCTGAGCCCAAGGCTGCGCCGGTGCTCGCCTGAACAGATGGGTGGGGGTGCAGGGGGTGCAGGGGGTGGGGGACCCAGCACTGACCTGCCCTCCCGGGGAGATAGGAGGACTCAGGCTCAAGCAGGGTGTGGGGTGGGCTGCAGACACCCCACCGTTCAAGCCCTGCGTGGGGGGGGGCCTTGGGAGCAGGTGTCCCAGCAGGGTAAGGGGGGCGGGGGCGTCTGCGGCTCCAGCTCCCAGCAGGAGGCTGCCGGGCCGTCCTCCCTCTGCTCAGGTGGGCAGCAGCACAGCTCGTGCACCCCGAGCACCGCCGACCCCCGAAGCCACCCAGGCCCAAACGTGACCCCGTGAGTGCGGCAGGCCCCACAGACCGCCAGGCCCCAGGACAAGCTGGCCTGGCCACTTGCTTTCTTGCTGAGGGGCTTCGCTCTGGTTCCCCCCCCAGGGCACTTCTGCACCCTCGAGCCCCTCCCCACCGGGGCCAGTGGCAGCCTGTCCTGCTCCTCGGATCCGGGCCGGGGTGCGTGCCCAGGGGACACAGGTGTGGGACAAGAGACACAGACACGGGAAGCAGGGGACCAGCTGAGGGACGCTTCAGTGACGCCTCCTGCAATGGGCTCTAGAATCCACCCTCCTGAGGGCGGGACAGGCCGCTAGCGGCCCACAGACACGCAGCCACGAGTGCGCCAGCCAAGTGGCGGGTGGGTGAGAGGCCCCCAGGGCCACGCTCTGCCCTCACCGCAGCACCAGCCGCCAGGCACCTCTGCTCATCAGGAGAAAAGTGGACATTTGAACCCGGGAGGGAAACCACCCACGCCCACATGCCCTGGTGCCCGTGAGGACCAGCCCGTGCGGCGGCAGCGGCACCCACCTCGGCCATGCTGACGGAGCCGGCGGCCAGCGTCTTGTAGCCCAGGATGGTCCGGTTCTTGTACCGCTTTCTGCGCTGCAGCATGATCTGAAGCTTGTTGCCTTCTCTCTTCAGGAAGTGAGGGTACTGCGGAGCAAGTGCAGGGGTGCAGGGGCGCCTGAGAGTGCGCTCCCCGAGGCCCAGGCAGCCCCCCACCCCGGCCTCTGGCAGCCCAGCATCCCTGCGGCACGGGCAGGGTCAGCCCGGCCCGGGAGGTGTGTGAGGACCACGTGCCCACGAGGCCCCGAGGGCAGGGTCACCGGGGCCCTTCCTGCAGCCCACGGCAGCGAGAACGAGCGGGTCGCCACGCTCACTGTGCCGGGCGCCGCACGGCCTGGTCTTCGCGCTGACAGCCACAGCGGCGGAATGGACTCTTCGTCCAGACGCTGGGACGGGCCAGCGGCATCTGTGGACGCCCAGACACAGACCCGCAGCTCGCCTGGCCAGGATGCCAAGCACGCCGCGTGGGCCAGGGCTCCCAGCCCTGGAGCGGCACCCGACCCAGGCCCGGCGGAGGGCCCGTGCGCTCGGCCACTCGCCTGCATCTCACCGCAGCGGCTTCTGCAGCGCAGCAGAGCTTACGTGCACGGAGCTCGTGTTCACAGGCTTTCTCTTAACAGCTCACAAAACCAGATCTAAAAAACTGTGGGACTGGCCGGGCGCGATGGCTCACGCCTGTAACCCTAGCACTCTGGGAGGCCGAGGCGGGCGGATCGTTTCAGCTCAGGAGTTCAGGACCAGCCTGAGCAAGAGCGAGACCCTGTCTCTACTAAAAATACAAAGAAATTAATTGGCCAACTGAAAATATGTAGAAAAAATCAGCCGGGCATGGTGACGCATGCCTGTAGTCCCAGCTACTCGGAGGCTGAGGCAGGAGGATTGCTTGAGTCCAGGAGTTTGAGGTTGCTGTGAGCTAGGCTGACACCACAGCACTCACTCTAGCCTGGGCAACAGAGTGAGACTCTGTCTCAAAAATAAATTAATTAATTAAATTAAATAAAAAACTGTGGGAAATGGAACCATTCTCTACCCGACTGTGGTGGCCACAAGCCCGTGGACAGTTTTCAACCCCCACAGACCCATACACTGAAAAAGGGAAATAAACTACGTTTGGTAAACTACACTTCAGTAAACCTGACACCCCCAAAGGAAAGAATCAGAGGGGGAGCCCAGGAGCTGCCTCGGTGGGTGTCAGCCCCACACGCAGGCTCCCGTGTGACGGGCGGGGGGAGGACGGAGCACAGACAGCGGGGGAGGGCCCGCCACCCACCCGGGGGACAACTCTGGACGGTCCTGCCGCCCAGGTGCCAGGACCCACCTGCAGCGAGAAGGTCAGGGCCAGGTCTGTCTCCACTTGCCCGCTGGGGGGCAGCACGATCTCGTGGGACCGCAGTATCCGCTTGGAGCCCTGCGGGGGGGACAAAGAAAGCAGCCCAAGGCGCCGTCACTGCGCTGCTTAAACCCCTCGGGCGGTCAGCGCCTGGGCGCTCAGCGGGGGCCTTGGGAGTGTCCGAGTCCTGAGACCCGCTGCTCGCTCGCAACTGCCCTGGGGCCGAGAGAGAAGACCCAGCCGGTCGCCGCGGCGACAGTGCGCCGACCCGAGACGCAGCGCAGGGCGCAGAGGTCCCCGGACGACCCTAAGCCGGAGCCCGCCCGCAGGAGCAGCTGCATGGGACGCCGCCCAGCCGTGTGAGAAAGGAGAACGACCAGGACTGACCGGTCCTCGCCGAGAACGGAACGTGGGAGAAAGGAGCGACACGTAAAACGGGGAGACACTGTCACGGGACGGGGAGCCGAGAAGTCTAGAAACAGATCCAGAAAGTGAGCAGACAGGTCCACATGCGACCGGTGCGCGGCAAGTGAGGCTCGGGCCGGCAGGACACGCTGACCGGCAGGTGGCCGAGGCGACTGGACGATGAGTCGCTTGTGTGCGGCAAAACGGGATCCCAACCCAGACCTCACACCAAGGCACATGCCACACGGGTCACACGGCTCCTCACGGCACTATTTTAAAGCAGCCGACCCGGGAGGGAGGAGCCTTGAGGACGTCACGCCAAGTCACAGGGTAGGACGTGCCGCCCCCCGGGATGCCGGGTTCCAGGAGCAGGTCAGAGGTTCGGGTCAGAGGTTACGGGGGCTGGAGGGGTGGGGCGATGAGGGCTGCGGAGAAGCAGGTGGAGGGGGACCGGGTGGGGCCCAGGACAGACAGAGGCCAGGCACAGGCCCACGTTTGGGTGTGAGCAGCAGAGTCTCGGGGACAGCCGGGGTGGCACACGGGGGCTCCGCTTAGCCAACCGGCTGCACAGCTCTGGGCCCCACCCCCGAGCTGCAGCCCCCGCCAGTCCTCCTCAATCCTCCTTCCCCAGGGCCCCGCCACGGTCTGGCTCTCCCCCTCCTCCCCAGCCCCTCACGATGTGTCCCCAAGTCCCCTGCGTCGAGGACACCTCAGCACCTGCTGCTCAGAGGACGAACCCGGACCCAGCGCTGGCGGGCCACCCAGGACGGACCCCGAGGGCTGAGTGCTCAGGCAGGACAGGGCCTAGGGCGGGTCCCCAGAGACAGACGTGGCCAGGGAGCAGGGTCAGCGGCGTTGGGGCGGCAGCACCAGATTCAGCCAGAGACCGCCCGCCCCGCCTTCTAGCCTTTCCGCATCGCTCTGAAGACCTGGGAGACCCGCCCCGCCCCAGCCACCAGGCAGACACAGCCCTGTGGCCTGGTGGCCACGCCCACAGAGGCTCCACATGGCCTAGGTGGCTGCAGCCGGACCGGTGCCTGGAGCCCTGCGCCTCGGAGGGCCGGGCTGGCTGGAGACCCGTCCCTCTCCGCCTGCCGCCAGCTCCCGGTGCCGCCAGCTCCCGGTGTCCTGGTGCCCGGGGCCCCCAGCAAGCGCCACGCACGCCAGCCTCGCCTGGCTCGGGCCGTGCGAGCGCTGACAGCCAACGACCCTTATTTAAAAACGTTGTTTTCTGGGAGGGGGAAGCTGCCTGGGGGGGTGCAGCTGGGCCCCCACGCGCCCGCACCCCAGCCTCAGCTCAGGGGGAGCCGGGCGGCGGCCTGCGTCACACCCCTCAGTCCAGCGGGCCCTGGAGACGCCACGTCAGAGCTACCCCAAGTGTCGTGCTGCACAGCGGGGACGGGCCACGAGCTCCATCAGCAGGACACTGTCCCCATGGGGCTGACAGTCTGGGGTCGAGACCTGCCCTTGCTGCACTCCGATGGCCACGCAGAAGGGCGTCCCTACCCTCCGAGGACGCAGGCCGGACGTGCCGAGTGTGGCGCGCAGGCTGCCTGCGAGCATGGCGCTGGCTGGGGAGGGCGGCCCGAGGCCGGTGCTGCGACCCCCACACGGGGACTGCTGGGCAGCAGGGCGGGAGCCCCTCCTGTTCCCCAGCGTGGGCTTGGAGCCCAGCGGAAGCCCACGCAGCTGGGGCGACACCCGCTGGACAGGACGCTGGGCGAAGACCATGCCGCCAGGGCTGTGGCTGCTCTGCCCAGAGGCGGGCGGCGCCAAGGCCGGGCTTGGGCAGGAGTCCAGCGTGACCCCTTCTGAAACAGGGACTTGTTCAAAGCCTTGCACAAAACCAAACGGAAGCCTGTGGCAGGTCTGACCCAGGAAGCTGTGAGAGGTCGGAGGGCCGGCTGGGGTCAGTGCAGAGGCCCGGGGAGCAGGGTCGGGGTTCTGGTCCAGGCCCCCACCTCTGGGAGCTTCCTGCTCCTCCCTCCCGCCGGGCCTCTTAAGCCACGGAAGACGGGCAGGAGGGGTGCGACGGAGCAGGCACGAGTGCCGCAGGCAGCCCACCCCAGGCACTCTCCGGCTGCCCTGCAAGTGACCTCCAAGTGCTGAGCGCCGGGCCAGCCTCTCGTGGGGGACAGGACCTTGCCTGGGAGTTTCCAGCCCCGTTGCTCCCACACCCTGGGCTCCCTGAGACGGCGCTGGCCGCCCCGTTGCAGTGTGGGGCTCGCGTTTGTCATCGGGCCGACCCGTCTCTGCGCACGGGCTGGGCCGCACGGTGCCCTGGGGCAGCCTGGTGGGCAGGAGAGCCTCACCTGCATCTTGACAGCGATCACCACCGAGATGAGCTCCTTCTCCAGCTCCTTGAAGACCACCAGCTTCTTCAGGGTCAGGCTGCACAACCTGCAAGGGCAAGGCTCGGCTCAGGCCTCGGGAAGGCGTCCGGGCGAGTGCCCGGCACCCGGCCCTCCTGGCCCTGCGTCCTCCCAGTGCGAGGCCCCCCTGCAGACCGGAGGCGGCACCCCCAAGAGCCCTTCCCCAGGCCCGGCCAGGCCGCAGCCCCCCTCCGCATCCCTGCACACGGCAGGCACCTCCTCACCACCCCTAGGCTACTGGGCCAGGACCCCCTCCCGAGGTGCCCGAGGGCGAGTGTCCCCTCCAGTGCGGTGGCTCAGCGCGTGTCTGGAGACAGACCATCTGAGAGCTCCGAGTCAAGACCACACAGCAAGGAGGCCACCGGCCCAGCTCCAGCTGAGGGAGCACAGCCTGCCCGCTGCCCCCGCCGCCCACCCCCTGGCCGCCACGTTCCTCTAACCCGCCTCCCGCTCATGTACCTGCCGCCGCTCTGTGCTGGGGCCAGGAGTCATGGAGACGCCCACTGCCCCACCTGGGACAGTCTGGAGGACATGCCCAGTGCCAGGGGCCCCGGCCCCGGGGAACAAAGCAGGTGGAGGCTGGACCTTCTGCTCTGCACAGCGCCATCCTGCCTGCCCAGACGGCGGAGCCCAGTGTGTGACCACTGCCCTGCACAGACGCCGGTCCCCGGACCACCCCAGTGAAGATGCCCAAGGCAGCCGCCCGCTCCCGGGTGGGGTGCAATGGCATCAGCGCTCTCCAGAAACAACTCCGGGCAGCTCTTTAAATCCAGCTCGTTTTCTGGTCCCACAGGGACAGAGCAAGGGGGAAGGCGCGACTGTCCACACTGACCGGACAGCACAGCGTCAAGATCCGAGTGGCTGCATGAGGTCCCGCTTGGGAAATCTGGACTTCTGATGCCCACCTCCTGGCTGTCACGTGGCCAGCCTCGAACGATGCCACCACGTGCCTAGGAAGGAAGGCAGGCCTGGGGCCCCTCCAGCGCCCTCTGCTGGAAGCATCCAGGTAGCGGATGCAGGACCTGGTGGCCCCAGGATGTCACCGGGCTCCCTGTGCACCCTCAACCGACAGAGAGAACGGAGGCCCCCTGCGCTGGGTTTCAACAGAGTCCTGACGCCTGTCCTGGGCTCAAGTGGCCCCTGCCTGGCATGGGCTGAAGACGGAGACCCCGTTCCCATCCTGGCCACTCAGCTGACGACGATGACACTGTCTGCACTCGCTGAGCTCAGAAGGTGCAGGTTGGACACAGGGGCTCCCAGGCAGGGTGTGCCTGGCCCGGCAGTGGGCGAGGCAGGCCAGAGGTGGAACCACCGCTGGCGCCTGGCACAGGGGAGGGCGGAGGCCGAGCCCAGCAGGGCTGCTGCCAGTATGCGGCCGCAGGAGGCAAGGCAGAGCTACAGACCCAGCGGCTCCAGATACGTTCGGCCCCATGACGCCCACAGGGGACCCGAGTCACAGACGAGCACGACCACGGAAGCACAGACCGGCCTGGCAGGGGTCTGCTTTCCCAAACTGTGCAGTGGACCTGCCCAGCTCAGAAAACGTGTGAATTTTTTTCAGAGTTCCTAGTGAGATGTCTGTGAGTCCAGTCTTTAAGATGAGCTGGCATGGAGCTTAAACAGCCAGAATGAAAACCTAACCCGGAAACCTGTCGGAGCCCCGGAAGGCGCCGTCCTGTGCTGGCATCAGGCCACCCCCACTGCCCCTCGGTCTCCGTGTGTGTGAGCCACCCGAGAGCTCACGGCCACGCTCGCGCCCACCTGCGACAACAGGAGAATGCCAGGAACCCAGTCAGAGTCTCCTGGGACTGGGCAGCAGGTGCCCTGGCAGTGCCGGAGAGCTGAGCAGGGAGTGGGGAGCAGGCCTGCCCTGAGGGCACCCCCCAGCTCAGACACCTCTCCCCTGTCCCGCCCGTCGGGGCTGCGTGGATGCTGGTGGGCTCCGTCTTACGGAGCACATGTGTCACGAGAGGAAACGATGGAGGAGAGAGATTAAAAGAGACTTAATACAAAACAGGACAGGCCATGTCCCAGGTCATAAAATAATCCCTAACAAATGGAAAAGAATTGATATCATACAAAATATGCTCTCAGACCAAAACGGAGTTAGACTAGAAATCAGCGTTGGAAAGATAGCTAGAAAACTTCCAGCTACTTGGGAAACTAAACAACATGTTCTTGATAACCCATGGGTCACAGAGGAAGTCTCAAGGAAACTGGAAATATTCTCAACAGGATGAAAATGAAAATACAACATTTCAAATCTGTGAGACAGAGCTAAAGATGTGCTGAAAAGGGAAGTTATAGCATTAAGTATTTACATGAGAAAAGAAGAAAGATCCCAAGTATTAATAAATACTCTATGCTTCCACCTTCAGAAATTAGAACAAAGAAGAGCAAATTAAACCCAAAGTAAGCATAAGGAACAAAACAATAAAGATGAAAGCAGAAACAAAGAAGAAAAACAATACAGAAAATAAAATAAAACCAAATACTATAATAATTCTTTGGGAAGATCAAAAAATTCTTAAAACCTCTAGCCAAAGAAAAGAAAAAGAGAAGACAAAAACTACCATTTTCAAGAATAACAGGAAAGAGCTGCAAACCTCAAAGACATTTTAAAAGTACAATTAGGAAATACTATGAACAACTCCATGCACATAAATAGGACAACTTAAATAAAATGTGTACCAATTCCTTGAATGCTACAAACTGTCCAAATTTACCAAGATAAAACAGATAACCAGAATACTTCTATATCTGTTAAATGAACTGATAGTTAAAAAACCTTCTAAAAAAGAACACTCCAGGCAAATTCAAGGATATTAAAGAAAGAAATAGCACCAATTCTACATAATATCTTGCACAGAACAGAAGAGGAAGGGACATTTCCCAAGTCACTTCATAAGTTCTGTATCACCTTACAACCAACACCAGACAAAATCAGTACAAAGAAAGAAAACTAAATACCAACATCCCTCATGGATACAGATGTAAAAATCATCAACAAAATATTAGCAAACTGAATTTACCAATATATAAAAATAGTAATTAATATACCAGGACTAACTGGGGTTGTTCCAGGAATGCAAGGCTGGTTCAACACCTGAAAATCTATGTGATTCGCCATACCAACAAGATCAGTAAGAAAAAATATATGATTGCCTCAGTCAACTCAGAAAAGTTTTTGAAAAAAATTCAATATCCACTTATAATAAAAACTCTCAGCAACCTAGAAAGAAAATGGACCTTTCTCAACCCAATAAAAAGCATCTATAGGCCGCGAGTGATGGTGCACACCTATAATCCCAGGGCTTTGGGAAGCTGAGCAAGAGGATCCCTTGAGGCCAGGTGTTTCAGACCAGCCTGGGCAACAGAGTGAGACACAGTCTCTAAAAAAAATAAAAAATTAGTCAGGCATGGTGGCGCATGCCCATAGTCTCAGCTACTCAGGAGGCTAAGATGAAAAGGTAGGCTGGACGTGGTGGAGGCTCACGCCTGTAATCCTTGCACTCTGGGAGGCTGAGGCAGAAGGATCGCTCAAGGTCAGGAGTTGGAGACCAGCCTGAGCAAGAGCGAGACCCTATCTCTACTAAAAATAGAAAGAAATTAATTGGCCAACAACACATAGAAAAAATTAGCTGGGCATGGTGGCACATGCCTATAGTACCAGCTACTCGGGAGGCTGAGGCAGAAGGATTGCTTGAGCCCAGGAGTTTGAGGTTGCGGTGAGCTAGGCTGACACCACAGGACTCTAGCCTGGGCGACAGAGTGAGACTCTATCTCAAAAAAAAGGGGGGGGAGGCAGACCTGAGAGACTATCAACCAACTGCAAACAAGCAGCTCTGCTCGGATCCTGCTTGGATAGAGGATGAACTAAATATAAACAAACCACACACGATACTTATTTGTGGGCAGGCTTTGAGACCTGCCCAAATTCCCCACTCAGCTCCCCACTCCTGGAAGCTCCCACAACCCTTGTTTCTAGAAGTCCAGGTTCCTCGCCCTTCGTCCGGACCCAGGGCTGGGGTGAGCCTGGCGTTGGCTGTGTGCAGAAGGAGCCCGGCCCGCTGCCGAGGGGTGAATCCCCCCATGCCTGCTTCCCTGAGGCTGGCTCTGCTGTGACTGCGCACACCACGGCCATGTGGATTTCCCCAGCAGTCTAGGGCATGCTCAGGCTGAGCCTATCTGTGCAATAATATTAAAAGAACAAAAGAATCATTCGCACACAGAAACTGAGCAGATGAACGGAATAATCGTCCTCGGTTTACTACCCGAGGCTGGTTGATGGGACAGCCAGGCGGGACCTGTCATGCACGTCATACTTGGCCCTCAAGGAAAAATCATGGACAAACTCACAGAAAGACCCTACAAAAGGCGGCGATCCGTCATGAGCCTGCGACGCAGTCAATCAAACACCTCCCAGTGTCGGAGCCAACAGCATCAAAAACACAACAGAGCGCGTCTCACACGGCACACGAGCGGCCGCGCGGCGAGCCCGCTCCCCACTCCCGGGCCTGGCCAGGCGGGGCCTGCGGGCCCCGGGACCCCGGCGCGGGCGGGCGACAGCAGCGCCCCGACCCTCGCGCGTGGTGGCCCCGTAGAAGTCGCACGCCCGCACTGCAGTGAGCAGCCCCTGGCCTGCCGTGCTCTCTCAATTCAACCAGAACATAAGAATGAGCTCACGCCCAGAGCTCAGACGGGAGACAGGAGAAATGTCAAGGGAGACTGCTAGGGGCTCGCGCCTGACGCTGCCTCGGGCCAGGTGACCCGGAAGGGCTCGCTCATTCTGACCTTGTAGGCAGACCAGCGGGAACCTCCGCGTTTCCCCTTAGCCCAGCGCACTGAGGAGCAGCCGCCGACGGGCTCACTGGCGCCCCGCGCCCGCGCCTCCGCCCCCCGTGCCCGCGCCTCCGCCCCGCACCCCGTGCCCGCGCCTCCGCCCCGCACCCCGTGCCCGCGCCTCCGCACCCCGCGCCTCCGCCCCGCACCCCGTGCCCGCGCCTCCGCCCCGCACCCCGTGCCCGC